TCATCATCTCCAAGCCCTTATTATATGAAATATTAAAGGGACTTATCTAAGAAAAAGAATATCAAAACTATGAATAGTAAAATGATAATAAACGCACAACTATCAACAACTGAATCTAAAAAACAAAAACTAAGCAAACAACTACAACATGAACAGAATCACAGAAATGGAGATCACATGGAGGGTTATCAGTAGGGAGGGTGACAGGAAGAATCGGGGAAAGGTACGGGGAATAAGAAGCATAAATGGTAGGCACAAAATAGACAGGGGGAAGTTAATAATAGTATAGGAAATGGAGAAGCCAAAGAACTTATATTTATGACCCATGGACATGAACTAGGGTTTGGGGGGAATGCTGGAGGGGAGGGTGCAGGGCATAGGGGGATAAAGGGGATTAAAAAAAATGGGACAACTGTGATAGCATAATCAATAAAATATACTTAAAAATAAAAAAAACAAATACAAAAATAAGTCTTTTAGTGATTGTTTAATATTTTCAAGACGAGTAACTATGCCCCCACCCCTTTTCTTTTCTCAACATCAAGATGAATTTCCTGCTGTTTTCTGGGATTGGATTGGGTGTTTCCCTGTGGCACTGGCCTTATTGTAAGAAGAATCTCTTCATTGTAATTCTCATAGGGGTGGACCCTAGAGTTTAGCTTCTGAGCTCTTGAGTCATATAAGGGCATCAAAACATGAACTAAATTTGCCTGGTTTGGAAATGGTCCTCTAGCAACAATTTCAGTGTCCTGCTCACCTCTCTGTGTATAATCTTCCTTATATTTTACATTTGTTAAGTCCTCATTATTTTGTCAGTTGTCTGATGCTCCATAGAAATTGATTTTCTGTTTACCCACTATTTAAGATTTTTTAAATGCAGAGTCAGTTCCCAATTTATAGCACTGTTTCAAAATGAAACTTTTATATGGATTTTGAAAAACAAATTCATATAGAATTGTTGTTAAGAATACAGACTCTATAGTCAGACTGTCTGGCTTTATATTATAGATCTAGGCTTTATTTGCTGTATGATATTGGGCAAGCCATTTAACTTCATTGTGTTTTACGTTCCTCTTTTTTAAAATGAGGGAAGTAATAGTATGTTACTCATAGTACAGATAAAACACTCAGTACCCTTTCTGCCATCTGATAATCACTTTAGTGTTATCACTAAATGTTATAGAGATAACATCATTATTATTACCTCTATAAAAGAATTGGTAAAAGAAAAAAATTAGAAATGATAAGAGAAGAGAATGGGGAGGGAAAACTGGGATGTTAACCTGTATGGGAACAGGGAATGGGGAAAATGACAAAAATCTGGGAGAAAATATATAAAAAGAGGTTTTATTAAGGAAGTCTTGATGTATGTCATGCAATTTAATTCACCATTTCCTGCTTTTTCAAAAGATTGCATTAGTTTTCAATGTTTTTTGTGGGGGAGGGTAAGGAGCAAGATTTGTGTTTCTTTTGGAAATGATAGTATACTCATACTGCTTTACAGGTGGTTCAAGTTTTTTCTTATTACATATTTATCTTACAGGAGTTAGTGATTTCACTACAAAGCTGTTGTATTTAGTAAGTATTGCTTTGGCAATTTGTATGAAATATAGCAGGCACTCATAACAAAACACAGCAACACAAGGACAACTTGAATAAGATAAGTGTCTGAAATGCTGGCAAAATGAAATAAAATTTTAATAGAAAACTTAGATGTTAAAGATATACTTTAACAACAAACGTAGTAAGAAAGATGATGTAAAAATGATGATATTTTTAAAACAGCATTTTCTAGTTACAAAAATTGGAACTGCATACTACAGAACACTTGAAAAATATAGAGCAAGGTTTCTCTACCTCTGCACACCTGATTTCTTAGGCCAGATAATCCTTTGTGGGCAGGGGGTGTCTGGTGCATTGTTGGATGCTCAATAGCAGACCTAGCCTTTACCCACTATATGCCAGTAGCATCCCACATCCACAACAAATTATGACAACCAAAAATGTCTCCAGATATTGCCAAATGTCACCTGTGGCCAAAATCACTCCTGACTGAGAACGAGTAAAATAGGGAAATGACAAAAGTCACCACTAAAATAGAGAAATTACATCTAGAAGTGTAAGCTTTTTGTTTGCATAAACACAAATTACAAAACACAGTCACATTGAATCTACCAGTTGATATTTCACTAATACAGCATCAACATTCTTACTATGTAGTATTTCTCTTTTTGTAGTGTGAGTACCTTATAATAACAAAATAATTCTAATTCCTCCCTCCTATCCCTGGTATCAGTGTTATCATTCATTTCACTTATACATAATTATATAGGGTCTGGCACAAATAATACCCCCTTTTTATTCCAAATCTTTTATTACAAAATCGTAAGTATGTAATTCTGTAACATCATAATATCACACTCAAGCACACTATATGACAATTTAGTTGAAATGTTCAAATTAAAACTATAAACTATTACACCCATATAATTGCCCTGCCAACCACACTGAAGCAGGCGTTTCTTCTGCGGGACCCTGTATATATGTATATACCACAAGCATACATAATCAAGCACATTGTTGCCATTATTACTCGAACAAACTGTTATGTTAGATCAATTAAGAAAAAAATATAAAAGTTTTTATTTTATTTTCACTTATCCTTTCTCTGATGCTTTTCCTTTCTTTATGTGGATCCAAGTTTCTGACTTAAACCATTTGCCTTCACTCTAAAGAACTTTTTTTAACACTTCTTGCAAGGCATGTCTACTGGCAACAAATTCTCCGTTTTTGTTTGCCTGAGGAAGTCTTTACTGCCCTTCTACTATCTTAATTAAAAAAAAATTTTTTTATTCATTGATTTTAGAAAGGGGGGAGGGGAGAAAAGGGGAAGTGGGAAGAGAGAGACAGACAGACAAGCAGACACACTGACGTCAACTTGTGATACTTGCATGTGTCAAACCCACGCAGGATAAACCCAAAGCATGGAGCATTGAGAGATGCTCTAACCAAATGAGCTACCCAACTAGTGCTCCCACCTCACTTTTGTGAGATAATTTCACAGGGCACACAATTCTAGGTTGGCTGATTTTTATTTTCTGTCAACACTTTAAATATTTTATTTCACTCTTTTCTTGCTTGCATGGTTTCAGAAGAGCAGTCAGATATAATTCTTATCTTTGTTCCTCTATAGGTAAGGTGATTCTTTTCCTCTGGCTTCTTCAGGATTTCCCCCCTTTATCCTTGATTTTATATGGTTTGGGAATGATATGTAATCTTTCTGGTATTTATACTCTTTGGTATTCTGTGAGCTTTCTGGATCCTACAGATTTGGTGTATGGTATTAATTTGGGGAAAAGTCTCAGTTGCTATTGTTTCAAATACTTGTTTCTGTTCCTCTCTTTCTTCTTCAGATATCCCCACTACAGATATGTTACTCCTTTTGTAGCTGTCCCACACTTCCTGAGTATTGTTTTATTATTATTTTTTTTGTCTTTTTTCTCTTCCCTTTTCAGTTTTGGAGGTTTCTGTTGAGATATCCTCAAGCTTAGAGATCTTTTTCCTCAGCCATGTTCAGTCTACTAATAAGCCCATCAAAAGCATTTTTGATTTCTGGTGTTTTTAAAAAAATCTCTAGCATTTCTTTTTGGCTCTTTCTTAGGATATCCACCTCTCTGCTTACATTGCCCATCTGTCTTGCATGGTGTTTACCTTTTAGAGCTCTTAGCACATAAATTCTGTTTAAATTCCCTGTCTGATAATTTCAACATCCCTGCCATATGTGAATCTGGTTTTGATGCTTCCTCTGTCTCTTCAAACTGTGTTTTTGCCTTTTAGTATGTCGTGTAATTTTTTTTTTCTGTAGTCAGACGTGCTGTAGTGGGTAAAAGGAACTGCCAGGCACTGATTCCCAGGGAAGGTTTAGTTTGTGTGTTTCTGCTCCCTCAGTTGTGCTAGTCTGTATTCGCCTCTCTCGTTCTCTCTCTCTAATTATTGGAGCAGTGGTTTGCCTTGCGATCTCAGTTTTCTTTTAGACCTAAGAAAAGTTGTTGATTTTTTAGTTTGTTCAGGTTTTACTTGCTTTTAAGACCTACTGCATATTTTTAAATGGCTGCTGGTGTAAAAAACAATAACGTGATCCACTTTAAAATGGAGTTGAACTGCCATACACACCTTATACCTCAAAGCTTTTGAATGTTAAAACAGGGCAAATTAACCTTTGGACTGGGTCTAAAACAACACTGCATCTCAAACAATAAAGCAGATATTATTACTACTGGACTGATGGCTACCAGATTGAAAATTAAAAACATAGTTTAGAATTAACACCACTATGTCGGTTTATCTGCACTAATAGAAATGCCTTCCTTTCATTAATATAATTGTTTCCTTTCCCTTTCTCATAAATACCCCTTGCCTTTGTCTCCTAATCCAAACAGTGTTTTGGGTTTCTCCCTGAATCAGGCTTCCCAATTAGCTATTTATTTTCTGACCTCAGGTAAATGCCTGTTGCCTCTCACTTTGGCTTTTTATATTTATGTTACCCTTAATATAGAAGATTTTGATTGTTTCAAATAAGGCTAAACTAAATATACCTATTGTTTCCTCAAACTAGATTCTTGTGAAAATTGTAGCTCAAAGTAAAGAGAAAGCATTGAAATTTGGTGCTGTCTACTAAAGAGTGATGGACTTCAGCGACATCTCACCCTCACCCACCGAATTCTCTTTCCATGGCATGTCTACAGGTTTCGCCTAGAGCGAAGTCCTCAAGGGACCCATCCAGACTGCTGCCTTTCTGGTCCTCCGAGCTGCTCGACAGATGATCGCCTTCTGTCAGGGCTTCGTGAGTCCTCCATAGAGAGAGGGCACTGTAGGACCGGCGAAGTCCCAAAGGCCTAAGACGCTCTTCTCCTTCCGCTGACGCTCTGTCCCACTTCACCCACGCCCCATGGCTCGCCCCTTGGTTTGGGGAAGTGTTTCTAGGAGACGGCCCAGAACGGCTGCGCCTGCGCAGTTGGTTTGGCCGGGGGCGGGCTGACTGTCGGTGGCGCTAACCCGCTGAGCTTGTTCCTGCGGGGTCTGGGTTGCTGACCGCGCCCAGGTTCCCTCACTTCATGAGACGCCGGTGAAGCGGGCCTCTGGCCGACTTTCCTCAGGATGGAGCACATCCGTACGACCAAGGTAGGCGGGCTTGGGTGATGCGTTTGCCTCTGGCCCGGGTCTTACCAACCGGGCGGAGGCTGGAGACAAGCAGAGCTCGGTTGGCCAGACGAAAGCTGAGGACGGGCAGGACCTGGCGACCGGCCAAGGATCCTGACCTGGCCTACCTGGGAGGTGGGGCGCGGTCAGGATGCTGGGACAGGTTGAGCCACGGGGGGTTTGCGGAGGCCTCCTGTGTCCTCGGGATTGCAGCCTTACTCGTTAGCCCAAGGCGTTGGGTGCGGTGATGTGTCGCTGGCCTCTCAGTTTTTTCCTGGCCAAAATTGGGGCTCTTTTAGCTGCGGAGCCTGCCAGCCTTTCTCTGCCTCAGACTGGAAAGCTTGTGGGTCTACAAATTAACATTTTGATGCTGTATAAGCCTTTACTTATTTATGGTTAGTCGCCCCGCGTCACACAGATTTTTGATGCAAGTTTTGGAGAAGCTGAGGTCAGCACTCAGCTCCACCTCACTTTCTGATCTTGGTCTCCAGTCGTTTAGATTTGGTGTTTCCGTCTCTAAGTTCAAACTTGATTGTCTTTAGAATCAGCTCAACAGAGCAGTTACGGAGAAGGAAAAAATATTATCCTATATGTTAAAGTGTTGTATGAAATGTTTTTAAAGTGTTGGATGAAATGTTATTCAACTGAGCTTATTAAATCCCGTGCTTAATTTTTGTGTGTAAAAGGTATGCTTGTGATTCCTTTACAAATGTTAAAACGGAGGGAAATAACATCAAAATATTACCAAATTATTTTCTCAACAACATTTAAGTTAGACTTCAACTTTGGGAGGGATAAAATAAAGGGACCAGAAGAACTGAATAACATGATTTGAGGATCACTAGGGAGAGAAGGACCCACTGTCAACCTTGACTGCCTATTTTGCTGAAATCGGTTGATTGCTGCTCATCCTATAATCACCGTTTAGCAGACATTCGTCATCTTCATTTGTTCCATGGAGAATCTGAGCTGTCATTAAAATGTTTCACAAACCTTGTTAAAATGTACATGGACCCTGGCTGGTGTGGCTCAATGGATTGAGTGCCAGCCTGCGAACCGAGGGGTCGCAGGTTTGATTCCCGGTCAGGGCGTATGCCTGGGTTGCAGGACAGGTTCCCTGGTTGGGGATGTGCAGTAGGCAACCACACATTGATGTTTCTCTCCCTCTCTTCTTTCCCTCCTCTCCTTCCTCTATAAAAGTATAAATAAAACTTTGAAAAAAATAAAAATTAAAAAACCTATAAATTCTTCCTCGAAAAAATAAAGTGTACATGGATTTTTATTAGAGCTTGTTTTTAGCATTGCACATACTACATCTAATAAAATTGAAGAGCTAAATAGTACTAACCTCTTTCAAAAAATCTTTTTTTTAAAAGAGAAGAAAGGTAAAGTAACTCTGCAATTCAAGTGGCTGGCACTTTACATTTGAAAATAGAAAGGAGAGTAAGTAAATAATCAAACTAGTAGAAGATGTAGATGTGGAAAGAAGGACTAGAGTAAGCATCAGATCAGGTTCTCCTCCTGGTTTCAAGGTCCCAGGCATGTATTATATAGTCGCTGTGTGCACATGACTTCCTTCTTATCAGACTGAACCTCATCTTTGCATTTTTCATAACGCTACAGCACACCATAACAAAACAGTAAAAGTGAATTGAGTTTAATCAGTTAAAACTAGCCCTATTCTTAGGTGATTGGTAAGAATGAATAGAAAGTTGGAAAATCCTTTGGCTTATTTAAGCCTTTCCACTTTATATTTATGATGAATGTATGTCTTTGTTTTTATTTGTATAACTGTAGCTCTTCTCATTTCCTTACATTTATTGCTAGAACACTTAATCTAGTGTTCTCTTTAACTACCAGGTAATGGTACTTTTCTTTAATTTTTTAACTTAGACTTATTTTTTCACAGGGGGTCTATGTTGGTGTTTTAGTTAGGGTCTTTTTATGACTTTTTTTTACTATAAAAATTTGTGTTTATTTGAGAGAGAGAGAGAGAGAGAGAAACATTGATCTGCTGCTCCACCCACTTATGCAGTCATTGGCTGACTTGCACATGCCCCTACTGGGGATCAGACCCGCAACTGTGGTATATCAGGGTTATGCTCCAACCAAGTGAGCTACTACCGATGCTTCTGGATATTCTGAGTGGTAGGTTTTCTTTATCGTCTAACAAGTAATTAACTATCTTCTCAATCTATTGTTTGAATTTGTTTTCCCAATTTAAACACTTTAACCTTTTATTCAAGTATCATGTGTATATACTCTGTTAATAATAATTCAAATATTGCAAATAATGCTGCTCTCTCCTTGCCACCTCCCATTTCCCATTCTCCTGCCAAGGGTAAATTGCTGTTATCAATTATATGTGCACACATTTTATATTTTATGCATATATTTATATGCATATATACACCTATAAAATTATATAATATTTTTGTTTTAACTTTTTACATATGTGGAATTTATTGTACATACTGTCCACAAATTGCTTTCTCAATAATATATCTTACAGAGTTTTCCATATAAGTATTGTATAGACATCTCATTATTTTGTTTGTTTTCTATAATATGGATGTGTCATAGTATATTTAATAATTTCCCTATTTGAAAACATTACAGTTATTTCCAAGGTTTAGTAGTACAAATAATGTGGCCATGAATATTGTTACATATGTAACTTTGTACACATATGTCAATGTTTCTCTTGAGCTGATACAGAAAAATGGAATGGCCTTGTCAAGGGATCGGGAACTCTTATTTAATAGATTCTCCTCAGTCTCCTTCCAAGTGGCTGGATCATGACATAACAACAGCCATTGAGAAATTTTTATCTCAAAGGTGAAAACAATATGTCATTTGCATTTCTCCAATTAATAATGAGATTAAACAGTTTTTATATTTTTATTTCTATAAGTTATTTCTTTAGAATCCTTCCTCACTTCCTATTGGATTGTATATATTTTTTCTTACTGATTTATTGGACTTTTATGACTTTTTGAGGACTAAAGAATTTCAGACTAATATTCTATTAAAATGACTTCTCAAGTGTGCTCCTTTATTACTTTCAGTAATTTTTCTAGTATTGGAGCACTGCTACCCTGGAATAGTCTTAAGTGGCTGTATGTAGAGTACAATTAAACAGATAGTTGCTAGGTACCTGTTATGTGCCAGGCACTGTACATGCACTAGGTATACAACTGTGAACACAATAGACACGGACCTCACAAGACAGCCTGATAATTGTTGGGTGGAGTATGATAGTTTCTTAAATTATAAGAATAACTTTATAACTTTTAAAGATTGATTTGAACAAAGCCAACTTTTTACTTCTGTTATGCATAAGCCTTCACCTGGACATAGTTAATTTGCTACAGGGATAATTGTATGTATTTTAAACTATAGATGGATTGCTTTAAATGTATTTAGCTGTTTTAAACTCTGTGTAGTGTAGTCACTGTGATGAAATTGACTGTGAAGTAGTACTGTGTAACTAGTGATTCTTTCTGTGTTGTTCAGATACCTGTACAGTTGACCCTTGAATCGGGGCGTTGACCCTTGTGCAGTTGAAAATCTATGTATAACTTTTGACTCCCCCCAAACAAGGGGGATTGATTTCAGCCCCTGCCCTCCCCATGGATGCCAAAATCTGTGGGTATAAAATGGCACAAATCAACACATACAGTTGGCCCTCTGCATCTGTGGACTATCAGCCATGGAATGAAAACAGTACAGATGTTTATTGGGAAAAAAAAAATCCATGTATAAGTGGACCCACACATTTCACACCCATGTTGTTCAAGAGTCAACTATGTTTGAAAAGTAGTAATTATATATCAATATATAGCCAATTATATGGTATCATTTCACAATATTTACAAGTTCACAGATAATGGTAATTTATACAAAATTATCACTAGTCTCTGAATACCACCAGTTGGGTACATAGTTTCTGTTTACAAATGAGGAAATAGGCTTAAGGAATGGAAATAATCTGCCCCATTAGCTCATGAGACAGACTCAAGATTTAAACCAAGGTTTGTCTAACTCCAAAGACTATGTAATGTCTTTTCCATTGACTCCTAGTTTTAATCTAATTGTAAAAACGTATTAGTAATTAACTCAGAAATAAATCCTAAAAATAATTCTAAGAGCTTTATCTTCCTCAAACTTCTTCTTGGCATAAGTCAATAATATTTATGTTATATTGTTTGTGGTCATTTTTTGTTTTGTTTTTGCTTACTAACTAGAGATTTATGAGATGAAGTATCGTAACTGAATACTAATTAAATGGCTTTATTCTAGAATTCAAAAATAGATATACCATCCTGTTTCAGTCACATTTGGTTTATTAACTGTGTAGCATCAGTAAAGATGCCTAGTGTGAATTTGAAATTTTCAAAGAGCATTTTCAAGCTATACTTTTGAACAATGTAGCTACTACCTATCACTTTGAGTGCAGAGACAGTTAGTTCTTCTTTATGCATTCTCTTTTCTTTCCCTGCCAGGCTCCAATCCTTTGGCTGACATGATGTGTTGATGCTGAAATTTGTGCTGTTTGTGAATGGAACTTTACAGAATGAAATAGAAGAATGTCTTCCTAACCTCTATATGAGAGACTGCTTTCTAGAGTTTGTTAAAGAATGGAATGTTGCGTGAAAATTTGACCCTACTGGGTTCAAATTGAGTCATTCCAAAAGTAATGCCCAATTAGTCTTAGCTTGCTATCCCTTTATGTCATTAGAATGTGAGGTCATATGTGTGTGTACACAGATATGTTTCCTGATGCAGACTGAAGGAGATGCAAAACTAAGAATGGATGAAGAATAAAGAGAAAATCATATTTTAATTGTCCTTGAAATATGAGCCAGTAGATTTCGAGGAACACCTGAATGCATTCCCCACAAAATAGTTAAGTGTCATCTTGACTTTTACTAATATATCCCAATATACAGGTGAGGAAACGGAAACTTGCGGAGGTAGGATAAGATAACTAAGGAAGAGGTAGAGCTGGGAACTCGAATTTTGGTCTTTATGATACCAGCTGTGTACTCTTAAACAGTACACTCTCCTGCCTCACAGAGTAATGATGTAATCAAGAGATCTAAGTAGTGCGAGGTGTGCCAGTCTGAGCAGGAATGGAAAGGAGGGGATGGATGAGAGCAAGTTAGGTGGTAGGTTGTCTACTAGGTAGCTGAATATGAGGGTCTATAGATTTGGGAGTTGTCATTGTTTAGGTAATCCTTGAAACTTCCTTTTGTGAATGAATTTATGCAAGAAGACTACTCGGGGGCTCTGTAGAGAAGAGTATGAGGTTAGAGGCCTGGGGATACTTAAAAGGGGGCAAGCAGAGAAAGAATATTCAGGATAAAATGGAAAGTGGTGAATCACAGATGGGAAGGGAACAGTCTTCCCTGCCTGATTTCTTTCTTTGCTTCCTCTTCCTCTGCCCTCTCCTTATTTGCCCCTCCTCTTCTGTTCCCTCCTCTGCTCCCTCCTTTTCCTTGGGGCAGCACTGTTCTAGGTACTGGGGAAGTGACAGTGACTAAATCAGACAAAAATCCCTGCCCTTATAAAACTTATTTTCTAGTTGGGGAAGATATAACAATAAACAAAATTAATGTCAAATATATAATATGGTAGATGGCAGTAAATGCTGTGGAACATGCCAGGGCGGGGTGGAAGGGGAGAGTTTGAAATACGGTAGTTAAGGAAGCCTTTACAGCTGTAGCGATGCTTGAGTACAGGTGAGGGAGAGAGCCACCTTTACATGGGCGGAAGAGATGGCGGGAGGAGTCCCAACAGAGGGAGCAGCAAGAGCAAAAACCCTCTGTTGGGCATGCCTGGTTGATGAGAACTAGCAAGAAGACTAGTGTGGCAAGAGCAGAGTGAGTGAAGGAGAGAGTATAGTAGAAGGTTAAAGTTGAGAACAGGATCAAGTTACTGTGCAGGGGTGGCCAACCTTTTGGTGTCCCCGCGCCACACTGGAAGAAGGGTTGTCTTGGGCCACACATTAAATGCATTGCAACATGTAATCACAAAAAAATCTCACAACATTTTAAGTAAATTTACAATTTTGCGTTGGGCCACATTCAAAGGTATCCTGAGCTGCACTCGGCCTGTGGGCCGCAGGTTGGACCCCCCACTGTGAGCATAGAGCCTTGAAAGCTGACATGAAATCTTTCATTTTACTGTGTGAGATAGGAAGCCATTCATGGAATGTCAGCTGTGTCTAGCGCTGCAGGAAAGCAAAGCAAGGTAGGCCAGTGAAGTGCCCCTGGATTTATGATCTGTTTTATCTGGCAGTTTATTCAGTCAGATGTTGTTACTGTAGGAACTGTGGATATATGAACAAAAAAAGATAAAAATCTCTGTCTTTCTGATACTTACCTTCCACTTCAGGACGGCAACTTGATGTTCTTTCTCTTTGATAGGTAATTATTGCCAAGATGTCAGTGCTATGAGTGTGCAAAAATGATTCTAGAGTCTCAAATAGGTGCCTGGCTAGAGAATCCTTGACAGCGTACTTTCTGCCTCAGTAACCAGTATCATAAGTTGTACTTACTTGGCAAAGTAAGTACAATTGTTGGTCACAGAATGTTGAGGAAGGCCATTGGTCCCATCTTGTCCTAGAGGCCACTTTTCCCTTTTGTGGGTAGCTAAGTGTCTGAGTTTTCTGAATGTGATTCTCTGTGTGTGATTTCTTGTGCTTTTCATTTTCTGCTTTGTAACCAGCTGAAATTTGAACTTCCTGTGTAGACCATTTAGGGTACTTTTAGTGTAGGCCTCTAGTTGGCAACAGTACAACTAATTGGCCCTTAAAGTAATGTATTGGAATTCCCCATCCTCGCCATAATGACAACATCCTCTGATTTTTTTCTTCCTGCTCCATTTTCTTCTTGGTTTATTCTTTTTTTTCCTCCATAACCCTTTCCCTATTCTCCATTTCCTTTTTGCCTTGGTGATACCTACAATTAAACGATCCTAACACTGTTTCTGCAGTGCCTCAGTGCTTGTGACCTGAACGAGTTGTAGATGCTTCCTAAATACGTAACTTAAAACATTTCCAAGAAAACACTGGGGAAAATCCGTAGCAACCTCTGTACTTTCAGGTTCTTGGTGAAAAAGGGAAATATGAAGCAGCAGTTGGTGTTTAGAAATAGGTTAAGTCTTTTGTTTGAAATTTGTATGCTGATGATTTAGCAAAGAAAAAATTTTAAAAAATTGTCTTAGGATTTGCAGCAAGAAACCAAATAATCATTATATTTTCTCAGAAATTCTCTTTTTTCCCCCTCTAGAAATTTAAGTATTAGCTAAACAGTTTGGGATAATTTCAGATTAACTTTATTTAACCTGCCACATCCATATAGTGATTTCCATATTGAAGTGGTCATGTAATGGTTTTCTATTATATTTTCTTGATTTGAATATAATTTTGCATTTACCAAGGTAATGAACACTCCTCAACTTACTATAGTCAGGATGGACTTTTTTCTCCAAAAACAAATATTTTCATTTTACATTTAAATTTTAATTTATTTGAACAGGTGCTATTTATAAGTAAAAAAAGAAAACAGACTCTGAAATTAAATTTCTTGCAGGGAGCACTAGTAGTTTTTTAAATGGTAGTTATTGATTATTTTGGAAATTATAATTTCAAAATGGGGAATTTTTTCTTCGATTTTAGTAAGGGAGAAGAAAATATAGGGTGGGGCAAAAGTAGGTTTACAGTGAGTACATGAAATACAGAGTTTATTCTTGTATTTATTATTAATTATTATAGTGTTTTCCATATGAACAACTGTAAATCCACTTTTGCCCCACCCTGTATATGTGGGGAGAAAGTATAGAATTAATGAGATAATGGTTAGCTATCTGGTTTTTAAGACATACACAATTTAAAGAACTATCTGATACAACCTACTGATGTAGTTGTGGATTAATATTTTTAAATTGGTAATGATTATTTTACTTTCCCCCCCAGGAATGGATAGTAATAAACACTAATTTTTCCAAAACAGCAGTCCCCTGCACATCCCTGGCCAACTTTAATCACACTCTTCAGTAGCAACCTTGGCGCGTACTTGCTTGTGTGTACTCTTATTAAAGATGTACTGTGTACCTCACTGCCTCAGCTACAGGATGCAGAAGCAGCATATGGCATAATCTGTGCCAAGGAATTCAGAACCATGAAGAAACGCAAAGCTAAGATATTAAGTAATTAACTTTCTGAGAAGAATTCATGGTCAGGGACAGGCAATCAGTGAGCCTTGCAGAATGCTTATTACTTAGCAAAGCAGAAGAGACTATTGTATGAAGGGAGAATAGTATGACAGAAAGCACAGAGCAGGATAAAAAACCTTGTCCTGGGTGGAGTGGGAAGAGAAATAAGTTGGACTCTGCAATAATTTAACTGTTTCCTGATGTAATTTTCTGGTAATTTACTTCCATGACTCTATATGATAACTCTCTCTCTCTCTCTCTCTCTCTCTCTCTCTCTCTCTCAATAATTTGACCTGCCAACTCTGTATAAAATATTTTGACTCTCAGATATGAAAAATGTTTTTGCTTATTTATACCACACCCCTCTTCCCTGTTTACCGTAATATATGTGTTAATACTTTTTTACAGGGTTCTCTCATTTATATACATAACTATAAATAGTACCTATGTTGTTTGTGGTTTATATATTCCCCAAGATATATGAAATTTAACATTCAACATTAAGTAAATTCATGTTTTTGAATAGGAGGAGAAAAAAATTGAAAATGGTGCACTTAAATCCTAGGATAACAGAAAAAGAATTTATACAACTCCTGAAATGACAAGTAACATTTTTTTCTTTTTTAGGTTGAGCAAGTGAAATTACTTGACCGATTCAGTACCAGTAACAAGTCATTAACAGGAACACTGTATCTTACGGCCACACATCTATTATTTATAGACTCTCATCAGAAAGAAACCTGGGTAAGGAGGACCTCTATTGTACTGTTTACCATAATTATAATAATGGTGTTAGTGTCTTGCTGTGTTTTATTTTGAATGTGTAAAACATTTTTAATCATTGGTTATCTCAAACAACTTTTCAGTCACCTAAATCACTTTTACTTTCCCTCTTAATAAAAATGATATAATATGGAATGTGGAGTTTTGTTGTAGAATACCAAACTCTTTTTATATACATGAATAATTATAAAAAACCTATATGTTCTTTTTAGTTTTTAAAAATCTAAACAATATAGGTACATATTGACAATTCAAGTGTCAGTATTTTTACACCAAATTGCCATTAGGGTGTTCTTTTGTTTATTCATTTGTTTATTTATTGCTAGTGCAAACAGTGAGGTAATGGATACTTTGTATATTTTTTTTCATGTATACATTGTGCCAGAATTTGTCTGAGATACTTGCCTGGGAGTAAAATTACTTAGATAAGTGCATATTCAACCTTACTAAGTATGTTACTTCTCCAAAACGATTGTTTTAACATATTCACAATGGACTGTAACACATTGTTCACTATTCTCAGCAACATTGTTATTGTCAACTTTAAACTTTTTGCCTGTTTAGTGGATGTGTATTTGTGATTTAAATTTGCTGATAATAAAGAACTTACCTTTTTGTTGTCAGTGAAATTGGGCTCTTCCACAGGGTTGCGAGGAAAGCATTCCAAGGACCCATGCATGGGAGATTGTCATGTTGCATGTGGAAATAGAAACTGCCCCCCTGGGTTTCCAATTTCTCATCTCTGTCCATCCTGCCATGGAAAAAGTCCAACCTTGTCCACAGCAAGGCCAAAGTAAAAGCCAGTGTCCAGATTTTCTTCTTCATGTTAAAGTACAGTTTGCTCCTCCATCTGGCTAGCTTAGTGTGTGTTTCTGGCTGCATTCCGCTACTATGCCGTGGAATTCAGGCTCCCTCCTGGAGTGTGCATGTGGAGTCCCCATGGCCGTGGGCCACATGGTTGCTAAGGCCACATTGCTATGGAGAGAGAGACACAAGTGCCTGGGGCGAGTGCAGGGCCCGAGATAGAGAGAGCGAGAGCTTAGCCCTTTTAGAGCCCACACACCTTTTAGAGCCCACACCATCTCCTGCGGGTTCTGGTAGCTGGACCCGCATGGTCAAATGCTTCCAGGCAAGAGAGCACACAAATGAGGTGACTACATCACTGGGTGAGGAGTGGGGGAGCGGCGGTGGAGGGGAGAGAGATTGATTCCTTGTTCCCCTAGGATTATATTAGTTTGTGCTTGGGATGGACCAGGTGCATTTCCAAAATGACCAATCAACTTCCCAAGTTTTCATGGGCTTTGGATGGGTCCACACCCCCTAGTTAGACCAACAGGCCTCTGTGGTCCAGAATGTCCCCCTTGGCCCCCCAACCAGCTGGTACTGGAGTGGAGAAGAGAAGAGTATTAATCCCCTTGGAGGAGCACAGTGCTATCGTCCCCTGGAGTGTGAAAAGCTCTGGCTTCCTGGTGAAGCAAACAGGCTCATGCTTCCCATTTTATTAAGCTCAATGTCTAAGTCCCTTTGCTTCCCTTTCCTTTATCAATATCTAGTTAAATACCGACAGTAACAATTTCAGATATTTTAGCTTTAGATTTCCTTTTCCTATTGGATTGTTTGTCCTGTCACACTGATTTTGCAAGAGTTCTGGTTCTTAATGTTTTGTCAGATATAGGTGTTGTCAATAACTTTTACCTGTGTGTGGCATGCCTTTTAAACTTAAAATTTTAGTGTAATAGATTTTCATTTTTTTCTTTTATAATTTATGCTATTTTGTGACTTAAGGAATCCTTCCCTGCATCAAGGTCATAGAGATTCTCCAATATTTTCTTCTAAAAGCTTACGGTTTTTATTCTAAGTATAAGGTGTTAATATATCTGAGGAACATTTTGGTGGATGGTATGACACAGGGATTCATTTTTATTTTGCCTATGCATAACTGGCACCATTAATTGATTGTTTTATTAATGTGTAGTATCAACTCTGCCTTAAAGTGAGGATTTGCTTTTGAGCTCTCTATTCTGTTCTTTCAGTATAGTGATTATACTGTACCAATAGCACACTGCTTTAGTCACTATAGCTTTTTTTCTTTTTTCTTTTAATGCTCACCTGAGGTCATACTTAGAGACAGTTGAAGGGAGGGAGAGAAAGGGGAAAAGGAACATCGATGTGAGGGGAATAACATAGATGGATTTGCCTATTGCACGTGCCCTACTGGGGACCCAACCCACAGCCTAGGCATGTTCCCTGTCCAAATAGCAAACCCATGATCTTTCAGTTTCTGGGATGACGCTCCAACCAACTGAGCCACACCAGCCAGGGCTATTGACCGTGGCTTTTTAATAAATCTTGATATCTCTCTTTGCTTATACTCTTTTAATTTCCCCGGGAAGGCTGTTCAATTGATAAGTGATTGCAATAAATGAGGATACTTAACTAGATGTTGATTCTGGAGAAATTGCATTTCATAGAGTTTCTGGATCTCTTCCTCATCCAGTGTTTGCCCAGGAGTTTCACCTAGCAGGGCCTTGCAAAATCATTAGTTGATTCTCATCCACTCTGTCTGCCTTTCCTTTGTCTGCCCACTGAATATCTGTCCACTGATATTAATATGTTATCTATCTCCTAGAGTACAAATGAAAGTTTTCATAAAGCTGTTCTTTCAGAAGCTGGGAACATAGTTTTGGGGGCAGCTAAAAGATATCTGTGCTGTTCTTTTCTCTCCTTTTCTTTAAAATGCTTTCTTCCTGGTATATTCCTGTACATCTCTCCTGAATGAAGTCTGTTTAGTATACTAGATCCATAGAAATGAACATTTTAGATAAAGAATGGGCCTTACTTTTTTTTTCCATTTTACAGATTTTTTCAAGATCATATAACTAGTTCATGGCAGAGCCAGGTCCCTTCATCACTTTCTTCCTGCAAACAATTTTGGGTCTTAATTGGAATCATAATAGTGATATGATATTACAGTGGATTATTGTTCCTTATCCTCTATTTAGATGTTACTATAAGTTAAATCATTTTGAGTAACTTGGCACAGGTCTGCTAATACAAATGTTAATAGTGCTAAATATCAGCCATAAGTATAAGTTACATATGTGCAGTGTGTCTTAATTATCTGCATTATAGATCCTTTTAATTACCATAGGACTTCTGTTTTCATTAGTCTTCTTTTTCAAGCTTTTCTTTATTATTTTGTGCATTTAATCGTGCATATGAACTTTAGAATTAATACGTAGTTTTGAGAATTATATTCATGTATAAAATTATAATTATATAATATATGTATAATATGAATAATCATCCATTTCTCATCTTGCCACACACCTACACACACACCACGCCCCCAAAAAGCAGGTTGCAATTTTTTTACACTGGAATTTATGTTAAATTTTTAGACTAATTTGAGATGACTCGATTTCTTTCTATATTTGAGTTTTATCAAATGTGATAAAACATGATTTTAAGATCTTTTATTTTTCAGAAAAGTTTTCTATAAATATTTTAAATTAGGAATGATATTGAGAAAAAAAGAACTTTTTTTAGTAGCAAACAATATAATAGATAACAAGGTGAGAATGATAATTATATGTTTCAAATGCCATCAAGTACTCAGTTTATACTAGGACTTTCTGTTCATTCATTCAGTAAGCATTTGTGATGGAGAAGGTATCAACTATGACATCCATATTTCTGGCTTGGTCAAATTTAAGTTTGAATGTGTAATATATATCCCTTGAAATTTGTTTTTCTTTTTAATTTGAAGAGAATCATTAACAACATTCCAAGTAACGTGTTACATGCTGGAGATGTGACATTCAACTTTGCTATAGTTTTGCTTCTTATGAAGTTACTAAAATCTAGCTACAGAAATAGACCTTCACTACACAACAAATTACACATATACTAAGTCCTGTGAAAGGAAAAATGTATGTTGATACTTGAAAAGAAAATGGAGGAGGCCTGACTTACTTGGGAGGGCCCACGGGGATTATCAGGCTGTACATATTTCTCAGTAATGAGTTTTAAGCAAAGCCCAGAAACAATTCAGCAAGTTCCTAGGTGAAGAGGTAGAGTTATAATATCCCAGTTAGTAGGAGCAACTCAGAGTGTGTATAAAGGAGCTTAGCTCATTTGAGGAGCCAAAAGAAGGCTATTGTCACTAGAACTTAGTGATCTTGGGGGAGGGACTTGAACTGAGGCTAGAGAAGTGGGAAAGTCTGTGGTCACCGCCCCCTGAATCCTCCTGCTCTCATCTCATCTCAAAAGCTAAGCCCGGTCAGGCCAGCTTAGTACTTGAATAGGAGAATTGGGGAATAATGACTAGATTGCTTTGCCCTTTTTTTTTTTTTTTTGATTAGGTTTTCAGTGGTTACTTGTCTGCCTTGTAGGAAATGGATAGATTGGGGGGATATCAAGAGTAGATTTGGAGAGAGTATTTAGGAGGCTAGTTAGAGTAATTCAAGTGAGAAACAATGGGAACATTGCAGCCAGGGGAGTGACAGTGGAGATGGAGAGAAGTAGACAGGCCACAGAGATGGATGGAGGATAGACAGAGGTAGGTCCTTGGCGCTTAATAATGTATGACTGTGTGAAGTGTTTGGGCACATTTCTGGCTCAGGCATCGTCATTTAAAATTTTTAAGTTTGAGTGTGCAGTGTATAACATTTGAGATTTTATTTGAAGAGGACATTGCTAACATTTATGAACTATGGAAGAGAATAAAATAGTGCTTTTTATAATGACGGTCAAATGTTTTTTCTTGGTGTAGATATTGCATCACCATATTGCCTCAGTGGAGAAACTGGCTTTGACAACTTCTGGATGCCCACTTGTGATTCAGTGCAAGAACTTCAGAATTGTGCATTTCATTGTTCCCAAAGAAAGAGATTGCCATGATATTTACAACTCTTTGCTACAACTGTCAAAACAAGGTACTGTTCTTAGAGACCAACAGCTTGCTCAATTTTGAGGATTATCTGAGATACTTTATTTAACATGTAGTTGTTGATATTTTATACTTTGTTACTCTTAAGTGGAGTACCTTGCACTCTAATTTAAAAAATTTGGCCCAGAAGTAATTATAAACTTCTGATCTGACTTTAATAATGGTTTCAAAAGAAAGGGTAATAGTAAGGACAAAATGAAGTGTTAAGTCTGTAGTACAGACCTAAGAAACTGTAGATTTATATTAATGGTTTAGAAGTCTGTTGATGCACAGCCTTTTCTTTTTCTTTTTTTTTTTTTAAACCCACAGCCAAGGGGTGACTTGGAAATTGATTCTTTAAAGCAGAAGTTAAGGAAGGTCAGGCTCCTCTGATAGCAGTGGTACTAAGCTATGTAACTGACTGGAGTGGAACATAAGGGAGATGAGACAGAGAAAAAGAGGGTGAATCCTACTTTAGTAGAAGTAGGAGTGAGAGGGATACAGGCCTTAAAGAAGGATCTCGTCACTACTCTGTCTTAGGGATCTGGAGGCTTCCTTCTCCCAGTATAACTTGAATTATAGCGATCTCTCCAGGGAGACAAAGCATATTAGTTACTGTATGCTACTTTTTTTAATTGGACATCTGGTATGCAGTGGTCTAGGAGATTTTTGTTCACTCTTCTCTCCTAACATAGGCCTGTAACATTTATCCCATCGTCCCAAGTCAAGTCAAATCTCATGGTATAGATAGTTCTGTGACTTCAGGGGCTTATCATTGTTCAGAAGTAAGCGCTCTTTGGACCTCTGTGCAACCATTGTCACTTTGGGTCTAAACTGTACTATAGGAACGTATAGGCAATATCATATTCTATGTGGTACCTTTAATATTTCATTGTGGCCTCAGTCTTTGTTTTACATCCATTTGGGAAAAGTGGTGGGTAGGAAGTGTCTATTTGTGTCTTTAAACTTTTAAAAAAGGGAAATATTACAGTAGAGTACTGTATAAGTCAAACTGTATTAGTCACTAGCTTTTACTGATGATATAAATTGAATTTCAGATCGATATGTTTATGCCTTTAGGTATAGTCATTTGCATCAAAGAACAGAGAAAATTTTAACTTTAAATATGTTCAGGTGTTAGCCATGTCTTAGTAGAGTGTAAAGAAAAAATTGAGGGGTAGAACTGAAATTACTTTCACTTGTCATATAGTAAGTCTTATAAGTTGCATTTTAACATTTATACATTTTGTATACTATAGCAAAATATGAAGATCTCTATGCATTCTCTTATAACCCCAAACAAAATGACTCAGAACGCCTGCGAGGTTGGCAGCTTATTGACCTTGCCGAGGAATATGAGAGGATGGGTGTGCCAAATTCAAACTGGCAGTTGTCTGATGCCAACCGAGAATACAAGGTAACTTAGCAACCTTCTGTGGAAATTCAAAAAATGTTAGTACCAGAGAGTCAGGAAACAGAGAGTCATTGTAGCAAGTTGTCTGTGTATTGCTATGTATTGTTCTTACATTAGTAAGGTTTAAAGTTTTATAAACGTGGTTTTCAACCTCATGGTTTTTAAATGCATCGAATGGTTATGTTTTATTTGATTTTTACAGATTTGTGAAACTTATCCAAGGGAACTTTATGTTCCCCGAATAGCAAGCAAACCAATAATTGTTGGTAGTTCCAAGTTCCGGAGCAAGGGAAGATTTCCAGTTCTTTCCTACTATCATCAAAATAAGGAGGTAGGCAGCTTTCCTTTTGATTTTACCAAAGTAATAACACCCCTCTTCAAGTTTAAATATCCAGAAGAACACTCGCTTTTCTATTAAGATGTCATTATTATAATATTGCTGATAGAGAAGTGCTGGCTTTTCAGTTAATGACGTTTTCATTATTTTAAAACAAAATTACCCCTGAAATACAGAAGCTTTCATACTTGCCATTTTTCTTTCCTCTTCACCTGTTGTTTCCTTCCTTTGTCTTTCCTCCCCTTCCCCCCTTTCTTTCTTCCCTCTCTCCCTCTAATGGTGACTTGAAAATAATGGGATTAGATAGGTTCTCTTCCTTGCCAGTGGTAACCTTTTGATCCTGTTGCATTGGCAGGAAACAGATAGTTTTGACCAGACAACTATTGAGAAAAGAGAGAGAAACAAGGGTATTCCAGGTTCCCATTTTATTTTTTAAGTTTTTAAAAAGATACTTATTTATTTATTTTTAGAGAGATGGGAAAGGAGGGAGAAAGAGAGGGAGAGAAACATCAATATGTGGGTGCCTCCTGTGCGTGCCTCCACTGGGGACCTGGCCCACAACCCAGGCATGTGCCCTGACTAGGAATCAAACTGGTGACCCTTGGGTTCTCAGGTCGACACTCAGTCCACCGTTAGGTTCCCATTTTAATAGCAAGCTCTTCAGATTGGAGAGATTTTGCAATATGAAGAGACAAAGGAGGCATCTTTATACTGAGATGCTGTAACAGGGATTGCACATTACTGTGAAGTTACCTTGTTAAGTAAGCTTGTTAATGGTAGGCCAGGAGGCACTGTATGTTAAAAGCTTTATATGCATGAAATCCTCATAGTAACTTTATAAGGTGGGGTCTGCTAATTACCTGTAACTTTCAAATGGGGAAACTGTGGTACAGAGAGGGTAAATCACTTTTTCTATATCTCAACAGCTAGTAAGTTGAGAATTTGGATGCCATTTCTGACTCCCAGTTTTTTTGTGACCTGATTTTTTTCCCTTTGGAAGCTTTTTAACTCTCCTTTTCCTCCAATGTTCTGAAACTTCAGTTATGTGCCTTCATGTGTTGTTTTAAATTCCATCTGGAAACTCAAGTCTCTCTTGTGGGAGGTTGGTTCTCTATTTCTTTGATAACGTCCACTCTTTCATTACTTTTTTGTACTTTCGTATGTATTAACAAGTGGGCTTTCTAGCATAAACCTCCATTTTTCTTAATTTTCTTCTCTTTCTGTGCTCGATCATGTCTGTAAGTCTCACTGTAAGGTTCTGGGTAGGGGAGAAGATTTCCTGAGTTTCATCCCCAACCATCTCTTAGATCCTCTTTTTTCTTTTTCTTTTTGCTATAGTGTTTTAAAAATTCAAGAATTGTATCCTGTTTTCCGAACTTTTTATTTTTAAACAGTTTTCTATTCTTGGATGTGATGACTCAGTTCTCTGAAGACGTTAGCAATTTTTAAAAAAGAATTCTTGTGCTCCCCACATTAGTTACCCTTTGATCAGTTTCTTTTTTTTTCCTGTTAATTTTGTTTTTTGTTTTTCATGTCTTTCAAATATATGGCTGATTCTTGCCTGGCCTCTCATATTTATGAGCGAGGTACTAAAAAGCTCTTTAGAAGTTTGCATGCATGAGTGATCGCTGTCTTTGGATTCTTTCTTCTGTTGTAATAATCTTTGTCCCAATGTGTGTGGTAAGTCTGGCCAGGATCCATATGTGGGAAGAGAGATAGGAAGACCTCACATTTTGTTAAGTAGACTTTAGTTAATCCTCCTGTTTTTGGTGGGGGGAGGGTGCAACCACAGCTGTGCCTGTTGCCCAGTGTCTTCATGTTAATCCTCTTCATAGAATAAGCTTTTTGTTCAAATTAAGGGAAGATCTGGGATTGTTACGTAGACCTTCAGCCAGTTCTATTGTTTTCAGTTATGCTCCCACTCAGGCTTTCCGAGGTACCAACCCTTGAGCCTGTCTGGGATTTTGCCCCTTGAAATACCTGCTTATTATTGACTCAGCAATACGGCAGCTCTCTTTGCTCTAGTAAATTGGTTATAACTTGGCAATCTGCTTTCATTTTCTCAAGTTTTATTGACATCTTTACTCTTTTTCTCTCCCTTTCTCTTTTACCTTTTGGTTTTATACATACTAAATTTCTTTATTAGAACTTCAAGTTGGGATTTAGAAGGGAGCCAGAGATAGTAAGTAAAACTTTAAACAAAGGTTTCTAATCTAATTTTTGTAACAGTCATAGGGAGTTATGACTGATAATGGCATTTGTTTGACACACCCATGTTTGTATACATTTTTAATTGGAAATCTGGGCTAAAATTAGATATTCAATGCCAGAATTAACAAATCAGGAAGTAGGTCTGAAAAAAATGTAGTAAGACATCCTCATTTTCTTCTATTTTATTAAATTTTTGTAAGTGTTTTTATATATGTAAATTTAAAATAGGTGAATGTGTGAATTTATGTATCCTTTTTTTTTTTAAATGATACTGTGGTTGAAATGTTTGAGTAGGGTTAAGTTAGGGTTGGTATGGATGAGACTGGATAAAAAGCATGTGGGTGTAAATCTTTTTAATTCTTTTTTTTAAGACTTTTTAAAATTATTTTTTAAATATTTTATTTATTTAGTTATAGAGAAATGGGAAGGGAGGGAGAAAGAGAAGGAGAGATATCAACCAGTTGCCTCTCTCATGCCCCCAACTGGGGACCTGGCCTGCAACCCAGGCATAGGCTCTGACTGGGAATCAAACCAACGACCTTTTGGCAGGCCGGCATTCATTCCACACCAGGCAGGGCTTTTTTAAGACTTTAAACAACAGTAAATAGCTAATCTGACATTCACTACTTATAGATATTGTTGCCCTTTTGGATTGACTATATTTAACCCAAATTTGGATTGAAGCTCATTTTTCTCATTTTATGTCTCATTTTATATAAAGATTGCTGATTTCTAAGTAGAGGTCTGAAAGCCTTTGGAAAGTGAAAGTTTAAATGTTGCTTGCTATTTTAAAATATCCTTTTCTGCATTTATTGACTGATCTCTTACTTGGACTTGAGCTGAAAGTATTTTGTAATCTAGGGCACAGAAAGTATCTTAGTAGGTTACATGATAGAGAATTAACCAGGTGATACTTCTAAGGACCTAAGTTGTTTTTTTTTTTTAATTCAACTAGATAAGGGGACATTTAAGTATCTTGGAAGAGAATATTGGAAAATTAAATAATATCAAGATGTTGAAATAGTATTTTAAGTCAAATAGGATTTCAAAGTTAATGCCTTCTAATTGTCCTGCCAACTTCTAACAGCACATTTAATTGTAACTTTTTTTTCTTTTAAGAATTTTAAAAGGCATGTTTCAGACCTCTTTGCATAATCTGTTTTCTCTCTTTTTAAATTTAGGCTGCCATTTGTCGATGTAGTCAGCCACTGTCAGGATTCAGTGCCAGGTGCTTGGAGGATGAACATTTGCTTCAAGCCATTAGTAAAGCTAATCCAGCCAATCGCTATATGTATGTCATGGATACCAGGCCCAAAGTATGTGCCTTGAATACACTACAGTCTGTTAGTTTAATTATCTTTGTTATGTTAAAAGAGTCGATTAATTTGTCCACATTTAACATGCTGAATTCTAGTTTCAAATTAACCAAGGCTAATGATACTGAGGAAATCAATCTTTTAAAGGATACCAACTTAGGAGTTCAGTTTACCAGTAATACAGATAGTGATTTCTTATGTTTTCAGAGTTTTATTGGGAACTATTGATGATGTATACTAGTAAGTATTATGTTATTGTGAAGAAATACTGAATAGTGTCTGTGTGTGAAAAATTGGAAATCCAGTTAGAATTTTCAGTTGGCAAAACACTGTGTTAAAATAATGGACCTTAATTTGAAATATTCAAGAAAATAAGGAAAATACATAGTGAGTTAATTTAGGAAACAACGATGTAGAGATTTAAAAATAGTGAAGAAAAAATAGTTGTTCCGTTAGGCATATTGTGTAAGGTAAAATTTTTATCATTGGGACAAGTGTCACAGTCCATTTTTTTTTAATCCTTATCTGAGGGCATGCTTATTGCTTTTAGAGAGGGGGAAGGAGGGGAGAAAATGGGAGAGAAATATCAATGTAAGAGAGAAACATTGATCAATTGCCTCTTGTAGGTACCCCAACCAGGGACCAAACCTGCAACTCAGGTTTGTGCCCTAACTGGGAATTGAACCTGCAACCTTTCGGTTTGAGATGATGCTCCAACCAGTTGAGCCACACCAGCTAGGACTCTATATTTCTTTTTATGAACACAGTTAAGCAACCATTTCATGTACAATCCTGAAACTAACGTAATTAAAATCCACAATGTTAATAGCTAACATTACTTTTAATTTTTATTATAGCATCGGGTGCAGAGCTGGTGGGCTACACAAAAGAACATTGGCAGAGTTATAGTGAGGATTTCTTCGAAAATCTGGAATGATGAGAAAATAAGAGAAAGCAATGAAAAACAGCGAGTGAGCCATATAGACCACAATTATAGGAAGCTTTGTTGAAAAGAATGTTTAGAATTAATCCTCATCATTATGCAGTCTTACAAAAAATAATGGGGAAAACATATGATACAATTAATTTGAATAAATTAAAGAGTATTAAAATTTAGAAACTGATAATTTGGTAATCTTTTATTAAAAAGACTTTCTTAGAAGACAAAAAGTATTGGTGATTTCGTAAGAAATATTTTATTTTACTTTGTGTAATTTGGGTAGCTTAATTGGTTAGAACTATTTTTAGGAGATATTAGATATAAAAGATTGTAATACAAGACTTTTTGAATATAACGTCTGAGAGTGATTTGTTTCTCAGGACCTAATGTGTCTTATTTGTATAACTGACTTCTACGGAGAAAATATATCTTTATTTGATTGTTTTGTTTTACCAGTTAAACTCAAATAGTAGTAATGTAGAAACATTTAAAATATCTAGCTGTTAACCTCAGTAATCATAGGTGCTGAATGACCAGTGAGTCAGTAAATACAATTTAACTGTACTTGTTATCAACCTGGGTCCCCATCCACTGAATGAAAAGCTACTATTTTTTCCTAAAATTTAGGTTCTGTTTCATTTAGGCCCATGAGAATATTTAGTAAACTGTAATAACGTGCTATTGAAATCCTAGTCTGAAAGAATTAAATATGGCAAATCTCTGATAGCATTTGATATAAAAGCTAAAGATTATGGGGTATGGGCAGTCTCTTTTCTCCCTTAGAGACAAGTTTATTTCTGGCCTAGTTTTTGAAGCTCTGTCAAGCTAGTGGGTCATATGCCACGTTGTATACTGTCGGCTTTCAGCAGTCTCCAGTATGGAGGACCTCAAATAACCTGACCTATGTAACTGCCCAGCTCTGCTAATCTCTGAATCACTTAGGATTTAGCTAGGAGATCTTTGTGGTTGTAGATTTTGAAATATTACAAACATAAGGAAAACTGACTAAAAACCTAAGTGAATTAGTTTCATGAATTATTTGTGGAGAACTTTTTGTCTGACTTTTCCATTATATAGCATAGTCTCTTTATAGTATCCTTCTTTGCTATTAGTTATCTGAGACTTTTACTCACTAAAAAAGGTTAGCATATTCAGTTGTGATGAGTTTCTTTAAACTGCTAGCTAAAATTAGTTTGTTTAGTGTTTTCATGATATTTTGTTAAGTTATAAGATAAAGCAATTGTCTCTAAATTTCTAAAATTTAAATTTATAGCTGAATGCAATGGCCAACAGAGCAGCTGGAAAAGGTTATGAAAATGAAGACAACTATTCTAATATTAGATTTCAGTTTGTTGGAATTGAAAATATTCATGTCATGAGGTCAAGCCTTCAGAAGTTACTGGAAGGTATGATTATTGCTTACCTTCTAGTCAGATTTGCTGCATGGAAGTATAATGCTAGTCAAACAATATAAAATTTTATATTATGAATTTGAAATTTTCTAGTAGTCACATTTAAAAAGTAAAAAAGAAACAGTTGAAATTAATTTTAATAATATATTTAACCTAATAAAAATACTATGTTAAACTTGTAATTAACATTAAAAATTTGTAATGATATAGTTTACTTTTTTACCTTTAAGTCTTAGAAATTTTATACTTACAATATATCTCAGTTGGGACTACCTACATTTCAGGTGTTCATTAACTGTATTTGGGTAGTAGCTACTGTACAGTACAATTCTAATGGTTTTAAAAAGAATTGCTATTGTTAGATACTCTTGATTAGTCAGTATAGTTAAGATTAATTTATGATACTGTTTCATTTAAATAGTAAGGTATCTTTCTAGTCATGTTATGGAATTTAAAAAATTAAAATATCAGACTTTTCAATTAAACACTTGTGTTGCAAATATGTTTTTAAACAAGATAGCATTTTTTTAAGCACAAGGAATGACAGTAAAATGTAGCAAAAAATTCATCATTGACCTTTTGATAGCATCTTTTCATTTATAACAAATTTTGCCTATTTATTTTGTCCTCTTCTCCAGTTTACTCACCTAGCAATATCTTGAATAGGAGAAGTGAAGTTTTTAGTCCATTCTAATTGAAATGTTTTCTCCCCCTCTTTTAGTTAATGGTACCAAAGGGCTTTCTGTCAATGATTTCTACTCTGGTTTGGAAAGCTCAGGATGGCTTCGCCATATCAAAGCTGTCATGGATGCTGCAATCTTCTTAGCCAAAGTAACTCTTCATTGTTTATATTTGGTTTTAGGGTTTATAATGGTTGGGAAGGAATGGATTTTTTATGTTGAATGCTTGTATCTTCTCCAGTCAGATAATTTTTTTTTAAGATTTCATTTATTTATTTTTAGAAAGAGGGGAAGGGAGGAAGGGAGGAAGAGAACCATCAATGTGTGGTTGCCTCTCATGTGCTCCCATCTGGCGACCTGGCCTGCAACCCAGACACGTGCCATGACTGGGAATTGAACCAGCGACCCTTTGGTTCGCAGCCCTGGTACTCAGTCCACTGAGCCACACCAGCCAGGGCCCAGTCAGATGATTTTTACGTTTTACCTCTTTAATGAGATTCACTTAATTCGAGTTTTTTCATATAGCACTTAACATTTTTTTCAAGCACTTTGAAATAGAACTTATGTTTTTGTTTGTTTTGTGTTTTGTCTTGTTTTTGGAAATTATGTTGTGACAGCATTATCATTACAGTCCTAGCTCTTCTTTATAATGCAATACTTAGTGGTTTTTGAGTGAGTAGAACATAATGATTCACTTAACATGTATTCTGTTAGAATCTAAGTATGTGATCTTTCTTTTCAGGCAATAATGGTTGAAAATGCAAGTGTGTTGGTACATTGTTCTGATGGCTGGGATAGGACTTCCCAGGTTTGTTCCCTTGGCTCTCTTTTATTGGATTCCTACTACAGAACAGTCAAAGGATTCATGGTAAGGAGTTATTCGGCTAGGTCAGTGGCTCTCCCAGAGGAGTGATTTTGTCCCCCCAGGAGACACTGGGTAATATTAGCAGACAGTTTTGATTGTTACAGCGAACAGAAAGTGTGCAACCAACATCTAACTAGTAGAGCCCCAGGATGCTATTAAGTGCCCTGTCTTGCACAGGACAGCCTTACAACGAAGAGCTATCTGACCCAAAATGTCGGTAGCGCTGATGTGGAGAAACTTGAAGTTAGACTGATTTTCATCTGTGCCACTTCTTTGACAAAAAATTTTAGATTTGAAAGTTGTTTTTTTCTAAAATGTTACAGTGGAAATAGTATTTCCCCCTTGTGTTTATCTTACAAATATTAAGTAAAGCAAAGCATAAGGAAGAATACTTAAAAATTATATTCTAGAAGAAACTTTCTGTTTCAAATTCTTTCATTTGTTAATTGTAGTTAAACATTAGGAAGCATGTTTCTTATCTCAAGATTAAATTTCTAGTTGAACCTATTTTCTGCTTTGTGAAGCTAAAGCCCTGGCCTCCATTTTGTTTGTTTTTTAATGTATGATCAGATTAACTCATCTTTTCAAAATTTATATCTTAACTCATGGCAAGTAGTAAATGAAGACATGTGAGAAAGTTTTCATTAGTTTAGAATTATTAAATGCAGTATCATCTTAAAGCAAGGAAAGGTTTAATATCACTGTGTCCCTTTTAGCGCCATTATTTTGTGGTGCTAACATATTGAATCTGGGAAGACAAATGAAAGTATTGTTAATAAAATAATGTTCTTATTTTGCAAGTGTAAGATAAGGAATATTTTCTTTGCCATGTTTGACTTTAATTGTTTGCTAGACATCCAAATGCAATCATGTAATACATGACCAGGGACAGTGTGAGAGCTTCCCAGGCAAAAGGAGCAGTAAAAGCTAAAGAATAGTTCTCTTAGGTGACTACAGGTAATGTGTGGTGAATGGGATTCACGGTGAGTGTTGGGGGTTGGGTGCAGAAGAATATAGGGGCTTGGGGGCCTGAGGAACAGAAAACTAGAATTTGGGTAGTGGGAGCCATTAGAGGGCTTTAAACAAAGGAAACGGTAACATGCTTTAAAAAAGATGGTGTGGTGTCTTGAAGAAAGAGGGGAGTGTGAATGGAGGTTAGGAGACCAGAGTAGAAGCTGTTGAAATAACTGGAGAGGAAAGAGGGCCAGAACTAAGGTAGCACCGTATAATGGAGGGAGGAGGCGATGGACCAACCCGCAGGGATGTTAAGACAGTAGAGTCAGTAAGAGTTGTTCACAGACAGGATCATTTCCAGGCTAGGGACTCAGCTGTCGGGATCAATAGTGCTGTTCTCCTGCTCTTCACCGAGACAAGCAGAGGGATAAGTTTAGCGAGAAAGATTTTAAGTTTTAGATATCGGTGTATAGAAGAATGGCAGACAGCTTGTAGTAAAATCTGAGACTACATACTGAAGGTCACCTGCCCGAAGGAGCTCAGATGTGAAAGTGGTGACGCTAGAACTTGAGTCCTTGCAGTGTGACTCCAGAAACTGCACCTTCTCTCATCCCATTATGTGGCCTTCTGAGAGATTTAAGACCAAGTCAGAGAAACTACTAGTGGCAATTTGGATACAGTGAAAAGGATATACTTGGTGGTTATGCATGAAATTATAACATACATTAAATATTACGAAGGTATGTTGTTTAGGTTAGTTAGACTGAAAAAAATTAGAACCCTATTGTTTCAGTAGAGTTGTGACAGGAAACAATACAGTCCACTTAAGAGGTTAGATATTAACATTGAACTCGAACATAAATTTTTCATTGGTCTCTTTATCATTTTTAAGTATTATATAAGTGATGTACAAGTAAGTCAAAAGGTTTAAAACAATCCAGTCTACCACCCACAATTAACCACTGTTAACACTTTTGATTTACATTTTCCTAGCCTTTTTTCTAGGCAGATATCATCATTTAACATACAAAAATGTAAATGCAACAGTGCTTTATAACATACAGGTTTAAAATGTAATAAATGCAATAGAAATAATTTAAGTTAAAATACTGCTGTGGTTCTATTTATGTATCATCTTCACACTTTGTTAAATGAACTTCTAATCTTAGTTCTTCCAGTCTTTTGCCTGTAATCTTAAAATTTTGTTTTGTTTTGTTTGCAAAGTGTAAGTGCTGTTTTTAAGACAATAGGATTTCATCCATTTTAAACAAAAAAATTGAAGTAGTATAAAATGGATTTTACTTTTTCTCATTAAGGTTTTAATAGAAAAGGATTGGATCTCCTTTGGACATAAATTTTCAGAGAGGTGAGTCACAGTTACACATTTACCAATTTCGTAAAAATAGAAAAAAATACTTTAGAGTACTAGAATGTTTCTGTTTTTCACGAACTTGCTTATCCAATGGGAAGTGAGAATGCAATACAATTTTCTATATGAAAACTGATTTAATTTTTTTATTTCTTTCAATTCTCATACTTTTGTTAATTTTTATGGCAATTTATTACCTTCCTGTTTGTCTGGATTGCAGTAAGTAGAAGGTAATAGACCCTTTAAAATTGTGGCTCAAGAACTCCTAATTTTAAATGGTTTCAATTAAAAGATTAGGTTGTTTTTTTTATGCCAATGGCACAATGTTTTAGGATTCTTTTTTTGATGTATGTTTAAATTTAACATCACCTGAACAATTGATTTCTTTCAGAGGCATTTTTAATGGCTTGTACTTTTCTGGGGGGGTTAGGTGTGGCCATTTGGATGGTGACCCAAAGGAAGTCTCACCAGTGTTTACTCAGTTCTTGGAATGTGTGTGGCATTTGACTGAACAGTTTCCACAAGCCTTTGAATTCAATGAAGCATTTCTCCTTCAGATCCATGAACATATTCATTCATGCCAATTTGGAAACTTCCTTGGAAATTGTCAGAAGGAAAGAGAAGAACTCAAGTAAGATGGTTTGATTAAATGGGCTCTTTTTTTTTCCTTAGCTGAGGTCTAACATAAATTGTAGTTGAACTTAATGAAATATCTTGACAGTATGAAATAGAAATGAGTATATTTTACTATGTCGCTGTATTGTATTTTATTTTATTTCATTTCATTTTATTCTTTATATCTGTGTTCCTCCCTCCCCTCCCCTCTTCTTAAAGCAGATCCTTTAACATTCTTGCAATACAGGTTCGGTGGCAATGAACTTCTTTAATTTAGCCTTTTTTTTTTTTTTTTTTTGGTCTTTTTAAAAATTATGCCTTCAATTTTAAATGATAGCCTTGCTGGATAGAGTAGTCTTGGTTGTAGGTCCTTGCTTTTCATCACTTTGAGTATTTCATGCCAGTCTGTTCTGACCTGAAATGTTTCTGTTGAGAAATTGGCCAACAGCCTAATGGGAGCAACCTTGTAAGTAACTGATTCCTTTTTTCTTGCTGCTTTTAAGATTCTCTCTTGTCTTTAACCTTTGATATTTTAATTATGATGTGTCTTGGTGTGGGCTCTTATGGGTTCATCTTGATTGGACACTGTGCTTCCTGAACTTATATGACTTTTTCCTTCACCAGGTTAGGGACATCTTCAGCCATTATTTCTTCAAGCAAGCTCTCTATCCCTTGCTCACTCTCTTATCTTTCTGGTACCCCTATGATGCAGATGTTGTTACACTTGATGTTGTCCCAGAGGTTCCTTACATTTTCCTCCTATTTTAAAAAGATTTTTTAAATTTATTTTTAGAGAGGGGGGAAGGGAGGGAAAAAGAAAGGGAGAGGAACATCAGTGTGTGGTTGCCTCTCATGTGCCCCCTACTGGGGACCTGGCCCACAACCCAGGCATGTGCCTGACCGGGAATTGAACCGGTGGCCCTTTGGTTTGCAGGCCAGCACTCAATCCACTGGGCCACACCAGCAAGGGCCATTTTCCTCATTTTTAAAAATTCTCTTGCCTTTTTTGATGCTTTGCTTGGGTGTTATATTTTTCATTTCTGACTTGTTCTTTTTTATGGATTATATGTCTTTTTTAATGCTTACTACTTAAGTTCTCACTGAGATCATCCATTCTTCCCCTAAGGTCCTTGAGCAGCCTTATAACCATTGTTTTAAATTCTGCATCTGGTATTTTGGTTGCTTCCATTTAATTTCATTCTTTTTCTGCTGATTTTTCTTATTCTTTCATTTGGGGCATATTTCTTTTTCTCCCCATTTTATCTCTGTGTATTAGGAAGATCTGCTGTGATTCCCAAATTTGTTATATCTTATGATATATGTGTCTTATTGGGCTTAGTGGCACAGTTTTCCAGATCACCTGAGCTCCATGCTACAGGAATGTTTCTTGTGGGTTGTGTGCACCCACTCTCCTGATGCAGTCGAATCTTGAATCCTGTTGGCCCTTTTATGGGTGGAGTGAAGCCTTCAGGATGGCTGACCATAAGGCTAAACCTCAGTCACCATATATGAGTCACTGTACAGGAGCTGCCCACTAAAGTGGAGTTGCTCCAGGTAGGGTCTGGTGCCTGCTGGAATCCCCCTTTGGGTGTCCTGCTTTTGAGGCTAGTTAGGTAGAGCTCTAGTGTGGTTTTATAGCCCAATACTTGTTGTATTGGTTCTGGATTTACGTGGGTGGGGTTCAGGTATAGGTTTATGTCAGATGTGGTGTGTAACCGGCCTTACGCTATCTATCTGGAGTTACCATGTCATTCACTGTTTTTGGCTGCATCTACTAGGCCTGGGTGTGTGTGGGACAGGCCAATCTGTTTACAATAGTCGGCTTCTTCTACTTTAGACTGGGCAGGTATGTAAAAGGTCAGAGGCTCTCTGAGATCTGCCTCCACCTGTCAGCTACTCCACCTCCCCCTGAGGTTGCCTGGTTTTCCACCAGAGCCTTCTGCAGAAAGACAATATAGTTGCCGGGCTGGCTGTGACCCACAGACCCTTCTACAGGTTGTGAGCTTGGTAGAGCAGGGAGACCAGTGTCAGGAGAACCAGGCTATTGTGTCCCCTACTTGGGGGCCGTGTGGTCAACATACATCACTGAAGGGTAAGTGGCCCCTACTTCAGGGCCAAACCACTCAGTCTCTGCCAGTCTCCAACTCTAGTCCCCCAGAAGGAGCACATCACAGGTTCAGGCTGGGCGCAGCCAGCCATCCCCTCTGCCAGAGCAAACCCAGCAGGGCAGAGCCATTGGGACTCTGGGGAAGGCGGGGAGAGAGATCAAAAGAGTCTCTCCTTGGGGCTGGTGCCAGCCAAGCCTGCAGGAGGGAGCCAGGCACTTTGTCCTGGTCACAGAGTAATAACCTTTGTGGGAAACACACTTTGAATGTCCCAGCTCAGAGCAGCTGTCCCTTCCTCCCTGCAGAACTGAGCTCAGCAGGGTGGAGCCACTGGGACTTGGGGGTGCAGATCCAAAGTCTCTCATTGAGGGTGGTGCCAGCCAGCAAGCCTGTAAGAGGGGGTGGGCACATTTTTCCCTTCCTGAGATAGTGTGGGCTGAGCTTGCAGGGGAGATAGGAGTGGACCCCCTGTAATGTGGTCACACAGCCCATCTGATTCCTAGACAAAAGCCTCCTTGGGATATGGTGCTCCAAAAGTCCCATCTCTGAAGGGCACTGTGATCCCCCTGTGCAACTGGACTCAGCAGGATGGGGCCACAGAGTGGTAAGGGCAGGCCCAGTGATTTAACAGATTGGAGGGGGTTGCCAGCTGTGTGCCTAAGGTGGGGAAGAATGTTCCTCTTTCTAAAGCTACACTGTTCAGTCACTGAGTTACTGCCAAGAAGTTCTGTCAAAAAAGAGCACTCTGAAGCTCTCTGCTAGGTGCAGCCAGAATACCCCTCTGAAGGACTTGAGCACAACAGAGTGGGGTCACCAAGAATTGGAGAACTGGGCGGTGCATCCCCCTGGCTGGTGCTGTAATGTAGGAGTGCTGGATCCTGGGAAGGCGGTGCTTGAGTCTCTACCAGACTCTCTTCTTTCCTAGGCGGACTGAATCCCCACTGATTTTCACCACCAGATTCTGTGTGGCCTTCTCTTCCCACACAGTTCTGGGTTGGGAATCCCTGTGTGGGCTTGAGACCCATGCTTCTGGTGGCAGGGAGTTTCGCATCCTAGAAATACCCCTCTGGCTTTTCAGCAATTGCACATGAGCGTGGGGGCCAGCCCTTTCCATGTCTCCACTTTTCTTACCAGTTTCTGAGTGGCTTCTTCTGTAAATCCTTGGTTATCATATTTCAGTTTAGCTAACCTTTAGTTGGTTATTCAGGTTGATTGCTTTATAGTTTAGCTGTAAATCCCGTTTAGTGCTGGGAACAGGTGAGTGTAGCTTTGATCTATTCTGCAGCCATCTTAGAATCCTAGAAGTGAATTTTTTGGTAAAGATTTTATTGCCTGTATTTCTGAAGCCAAATATGCTCGGAGTATCTCTCACACCCTCAGGATAATAGTAGAAATACATTTTTTAAACAGTATTTTGAAGTATAGCCCATATACAGAAAAATACATGTATCGTAAGTGTGAACCTTAATAAATACTCAAGTCATCCACTTGTGTAGCCAGCACTCAGAATGAGAAATATTACCAAACCCTAGGAACACCCCTTATGCTTCTTTCCAGTTTGAATATATGTATCTATGTATCTGAATATATATGAATATCTATATATCTATATCTACATATAGATATATCTTTACATTATTTTCTGGAATATATATATATCTAGAATATATATATATTTTTACATTATTTTATTTTCTAGAAAGTGTTGGCCACTAAGTTTTAAAGTGTGTTAAAAGGTTTAAAAACTGTTGAGTAACTTAAGGTAAGATGAAGCCTTGTATCTCTCCTCTCATTTCTAAAAGACAGTTCTTTGGGGAAATAAGTTTACCTATTTGGCTGCAGTGTATCTGTCCCTCCCTGATGGGGTCTCATATCTGTTCTTCCCTAACTAGTGTTTGGGATTAGGTACTTCTGGCTAAATTATGATGCAAGGGAGGTCTATCATAGTCCTTAGCTTCTAAGTTTAAATTTCTTACAGTAGTCAGTCAAGAGCAGTTACAGATTTTGAACATCCAGGTGACATGTTAGTCTAAGCCCGGTGGTAGTTTGAAGGCAGCCACATGCCGTTATTCCCGACAGAGTGAAAGGCAGAAACGAGAGCATGTGGAGGAATCTAAAGATGTGTAAAGGGAATAACTGGTAAAATAGAGTATGACAGAGATGAACATATCTGAGAACATTAGTACTTTAGCTATGTGTTATAATATCTCACAGTGTTTTTTTTGTTTTTTTTTTAAATAAATAGGAGAGGTGACTTGGAGTACAGTGCTGTTTTTTAGGAAAAAACAATTCTCATTTAGTGTCAAACATCTTTATAAATAGGAAGATGTCATAAAAGCACCTATTTCCTAGTAGTTGTTTGCTAAGAACATGTCTCTTGGTTATCTTTGGGGTCAAAGAAGAATGAGCAGACTCTCCACCTTTCTCTCTCTATCCCTATTTTATGTTTATTTGGTAAATATAGTATCTAAAAGCATTCTACCCGTTACCCACCTACTTCACCTACTTACTCCTTGATTTGCAGCATAATTGGCATTTTTAAGTGCTTGAATAATGTCCTGATTTTTCCTAATTTCCTTTGTTTGTATGACCCGCATTTAAATTTGTCCCTGCCATTACAGCACAGATATGGGGCTAGGAGAATAAGACCAAATGGCAGTACAGTTCCATTCTATATATAGTTGACCCTTGAACAGCTTAGAGGTTAAGGGGACCAACCCCTGTACAATTGAAAGTCTGCAGGTACTTTGAGTTTGCCCTCTGTATCCATGGATTTGACATACTGTTTTTGATCATGGTTCTTTGAATCTGTGTAAGTGAAACCCAGGAATATGAAGGGCCAACTCTGTATTTGTTGAACCTGTGTACTTCCTGAACATGTATCTAGTGGACCTGTGCAGTTCAAACCTGTGTCATTCAAGGGTTAGCTGTATGTGTGCAGTAATTTGAAATAGGTGTAACAGACACTGAGATTATGAAATTGTGTGAGTTAATCTCTTAAAGTGTGTTGTTTGAGAGAAAATGATATACCTGTGTTGTGTTCGTTAGACATGGTTTTATTACAAGATTATAAGTGAAAATGGAGAGGAGAAAACAAAATTCATTGAGAAGCTGACATTAGACTGTGAATAGAAGGAAAAACTAAAACTTTATTTGGAAAACAATTGCTTGGTTTATAAAACTGAGTATTGGCATCTATGAGAAAGATATTTATGTTTCTCTCATTATATAAGGTTAAAGGAGAAGACTTATTCCCTGTGGCCGTTTCTTCTGGATGATCTAAAGAAGTACTCGAATCCTCTCTATAGTTCCAAATCTCAGAAATTCGCTGTTTTGGAGCCAAATACAGTATCTTTCAATTTTAAGTAAGTAGGCCTCTTTGAATGTTTATGTTCTCTTTTTCTCCCATTTATTTATTGAAATTTTTCTCTTTTTTTTTGGTCATAAAGGTTTTGGAGAAACATGTACCACCAATTTGATCGAACATTGCATCCCAGGGAATCTGTGTGTAACATAATTATGAATATGAATGAGCAAAATAAACAGTTAGAGAAAGACATTAAAGACTTAGAATCTGTAAGTATTCTGAATTATCTAACATAATATATTTGGAATATTTAATTACTTTACTTCCTTACTTGTGTTCTTAGTGTAAATTAGTATATAGGGGGGGACCCCAAAAAAAAAAGGAATTTATTTAATAAAATTGTGTATTTATTCTTACATGTTTACACTTCAGTCACCTTCAAAGTACTCTCCATTTGGTGTAGTACACCTGTTGAGACTTTTTTCTCACTGCTTAAAACAGTTTTTGAACTTGACAATTTTGATGCCTTTTAGAGCTTCTGCCGTTTTTTGTTTCACTTCTTCCCCATCGGCAGAATGTTTCCCTTTGAGGACTTTTTTCTTCAGGGAAACAAAAAACGTCTCTCAGGGTAAGAGTAGATGAATAGGGAGGGCGGGGCATGGGGATTATGCCATTTTTGGTCAAAAACTGCTGAACACTCAGTGCAGTGTGGGCAGGTGCCCTCATAAATCACCCATCATGAAGTGGGCAAACCTGTTGAAAGAGGCTTCAGAAAAATTCACTGAAGCCAAACGCAGCCTCTCTCAACACCAGCTGGTCCACTGACACAGATGGGTTCCTAGGATACTCACCCAGCAGGGGAGGCCTGTACTGCAAGGGGCCGCCCTCCAGAAGATAATTCGGGTTTTGGGGGGATCACCCTTCATAAAGAAACCTCATACGTACACATGGTTGCTTGAAAGTCAGATCTCTGCTTTGAGTAGGATAGTTTGAATCACTTCCCCTGAATTTTAAAATATATTGAAATATCTGAAGTATATAGAAAAGTAGAGATATAAAATAATAAATACCAGGGTTTCAGATCAATCATGTTTTTGTTTTAAGAAATGAAACATAATATATTTGAAGATACTTGTACTCCTCCCCAGGCTTCCCCCACCTACTTTCACTTAATTTGGTGTTAATTATTGTGAACATTTCTACTATGTAAGTTTGTATCCACAACAATTTATAATACTGTTTTGTATGATTTAAAATACTAAAGAATACAGTTTTTGTATGTGGTATAAAAGGCAACAAGCAACATGAATGCCCATGTACCCTTCATTCAGCCAGGAAACTGCATGTTTTAAAAATATGTAGAGATAGTCTTTCTGTCGTTTTTCATTGTGCTCAACATTGTTTTGAAAATTATCCATGTTAGTACGTGTAGCTTTAATGCATTTATTTTGACAATAACTACTGTGTAATGTCTTGTATGAGTGGATCACAGTCTGTCTATTCAGCTGCTGAACATTTAAAGTGTTTTTAGTTTTCGATTTCTATGATAATAAGTGAAGTTGAGTGACTTTCATATGTTTTTTGGCCATTTGGTTTTCTCTTTTCTGTGAATATCCTATTTTAATCTCTGCTCATTCTTCTATTGCCATATCTGCCTTTTTCTTACTGATTTGAAGAGTTCTTTATATGCCGGGCACTGACTCTTTTTTAGTTATATATATCACATGTGGTTTGTCCGGTCTATTCCTTTCCTTTCCACTTTATTTATGGTATGTTTTGTATAGGTGCTTGGAATTTTAATGTAGTCAAGTGGATCAACCTTTATGTTTTATGCTTTTTTTGTGTGCACCTTGTTTAAGAAGTCCTTCTCCAACTTAAGACTTTTCTGTAATCTTTTCTTTGCCTTCATATATAACCAAAAAGAATTAGTAAGGACATATTTTAAAATCTTAGACAGTTACTACAATTCTGTCTTTCTGCCTCTCAGGCAAGATTGTTCCTTAGTTATCCGAGTAACGACTGCCTGAGTAAACTGTAGGCAGATGTGTTCAACAGGCAGGCACAAGCTGTAGGTAATTCAAGAAGACCCATGTGCGGATCAGTCCAAGCATTTGGAGAATGTGATACTCTGCCAAAGATTACTTTTTAAATCTCCCGTTGAGTTAAAAAAAAAAAAATTCTGCTGTGTTTCTAAAGCCTGTCATGTTCACCTAACAAACTATTGTAGGAAAACCATGTAAGAAAGGCCCTTCAGGCAAGAAAATCTTTAGCTAAATAAGTGTATATTTTGTTGTATTATTTAGTGGTGATCTCAGGTTGAATATCTCATATACATTTCTTTCATTATAAAATTGTTTACTTCTCATAATTTTTAGGTAATGTATGCTCTTTTCAAATATGAAGGCCTAATGATCCTTTGCAGTCAAGTGTAACCATTGCAAAAGTTGTAAACAATTAGGATTCTCAGCCATGTTTTACTCAGCTGCACTAGATTTCACTAATTTTTCGAGATTCAATTTTTTATTGCACCTAAAGAGAACATTTTACAGAAGCATGATTTCTTCTTTCATCTACATATTTGAACGTGTGCTATGTGCAATTAGTCATTTTTTTCAAATTTGTATTTGTTCTAGAAAATCCATAAACACAAAAGTGAGCAAATCGATGGAGTTCTCTCCAAGGAATTGCTACATTCAGTTCGTCCAGAGTCACCTACCCTCAAAACCTCCCTGTGTTTTAAGGAGCAAACTTTGCTACCTGTGAATGATACTCTTCGAACTATAGAGGGCAGCAACCCTGCGGATAATCGCTACAGTGAATATGCTGAGGAGTTTTCCAAATCCAAACCTGCTGTAGTCAGCTTAGAGTATGGTGTGGCAAGAATGACTTGTTAGACTCAGAGTATTTTCTGGACTAACTGTAGCGCAGCAAATGGTTTATTGTGAGGATGATCTGTGTACATGACCAAAAGGAATTTGTCTAATAATGATCTAATAAAGAGTGTAACAGTAGGTTAATAGTTGAAGGAAGGATAATAACTGCTCTTGTGAGAGAAGTAAGTCAGTGTAACTGCATTTCTAACAAGGAATGACTTTCAGTTTGTTAAGAAACAAATGATATTGGCAAATCTATTCAAAACAATTTGCATTGTATACTAGCAAACTGACATTTCTATATGTTTTATATGTTAATTATAGCCAAACAGGAATTGCCTTAAGTATAATTTAATTGCCAGTAAGCAAAACTTGACAAGACAGTTCCTTAATAATTGATATGGCATGTTCTTTCGATTATATAACCATGTGACTATGAATATTTACATATTTTACCTGTTAGTCATGTTTAATGTTGAAGTGCCATGAAAAATATTTCTAATAAAGACTTAAAATCTCAGTTCATTCTTTACTCTAAGGTTTTATAGCCCGGAGCAAGACTTCTTGTTTGGTTCTCTTTTGCCAGCCGTGTTGTATCTGTGTAGGTTGCGCCCTCGTCACTGCGGGCCCTGCATGCTGCCGCGCTCCGACAGAGTCCTGCTCCGCTCGTGGTTGCCTCGTCCCACTTCCATGGTCAGAATTAATGAAACTGCAGTTTTTATTCCGATTACAGTTTGCTTAGCCCTACATTTGATGACTTACTATTTATAACATAGGTTATTGATTTTTTCGAATGTTAAGCACATTTGACTGTCTTTCTGTGTATGAGTTACTGCACTGTTGATTCTTATTTTGTGGTTGGCTTTGTTCCTTTGATAACTATGTAATTTAAAAAATCTAAAGTTCTAAAACTGTTCTTAGAACATGAATAGTACATATATATTTTTAAACTGGTTTCTCTTTCAATGAGTTACTATTCTTCCTAGACTATTTCAGTTTACCTAACCATTTTTGGATAAAAACAAAAAGGAAATACAGATAGGTATATTTTGCTTGGTTATCTGAATCTTAAAGCAGTCATTTCTATATGGAATTTTATTTTCTGTTAATATATATGTTTTTTAAAAAAAGGAAAATGAAGGATAGCCTAATACAAAGCTAATGTTTAACAAAAACAACTTAAGTGCTTGGAAGGGTTTCATTTTGCCATTTAACTGTTTATGCCATGTACTACTACATATCTTTACATTACAAGAGAAAAAAGCGCTTATATTGTAGTCGGTGACCTGCTGGGCTGGGGCGACCCACATTCACGCAGGACCTGGATGCCTGAGGTCAGGACTGCTGGAGCCCGCGGGCTTTAAATTGAAAATTTAAGTAACATGGGTGTCATGAGGCATGATTCAGGGGTACAAAGAGATCTGCAAAGGACCCCTCATGCTTCTCTTTATTATACCTGTATCTATTATTCGTTTTGAACATAAATATCTTTTTCAAGAGGAAAAAAATCTTTATTGTATGAGAACTTATCTAATCTAGTTTAGTTTTCCAATTTTTTTCTGTAACAAATTATGTTGATAAGAAAAATACTCCTTTTTAAACCGTAATAGAAATGTACTATATATGAAATATTACTTGTGATATTTAAGCACTGGGACAGGAAACTTAACCTTTGTGACCACAGAGGGAAAGCTTTTGTGCCTTGTTACTTGGTTCCAATACTGATTGTAGTTTTAGAATCTTCCATGGAAGATTTCTTATAGTCAGCTTTTGGTTTATCATCTTCTAATCTTCAGTTGAGGCACATTTATATGTGTTTATCTGCTCTCACATGGACTGAAAAATCAGTTAACATCCTAAGTGACCTATAGGGTATATATATTGGCAAAAAGCAGATTGTGAATGTCTCATAAAATTGGATTTACATTCAGTGTGTTTGGGAATGTAAAGCATGTAAATTATTTAGTATATTATTTAAAGGTAATTAAATCTTCATGTTTTACTTTGAATGTTTTGCTTTGGGAAAAAAATAAATAGGATCCCGTTGTAGCTGTTTTTTTCCCATCACCTAGGCAAATGGACCCACACCTTATACTCATCATAACAGTGTCAAGTTTGAGCAGTTTGTTTTCCAAAATACAGATACTGATAAATAATAACCATTATATACAAAAAAAATTTCCAAAATATTTAAAATAGGCATAGTGGGCTAAACGGCTCAGCAGATATAGTTGATAATGTCATTAAATTTTTCCTTTGTGCTCCTATCTCTTCCTGGTGTTATAATCAGTATTTTATCTTGCTCTTACCAACTTGTTAATGGAAGGTAGTGTCCATTCCATTCCATTCCATTACACTGAGGTACATTCGAGGTGAAATGTCTCTTCAAAGGCAGATCTCGATGTAAACACTACGAGAAAAATGATTGGCAGAAAAGAGTATTGATTTTATGTGGGAGTGTTTTGAACTGGTCATTGAGGTTAGAAATAGCTCAGGGAGTCTTGACTAAACGATGAAAGGAAGCTCCCCCCCACCCCCCAAATTCTCTTTATTTGCTTTTATAGCAAATAAAGGGTAGCAGGGCAGGGTGGTAGTATCAGGATAGACTTTTTAAAAAAATTTTTAGATATTAGAGCACCTATTTAAAGCAGTTTTAGGTTCACAGCAAAACTAAGAGGAAAGTTCAGAGATTTCCCATATACCACTACCCTACACATTCATAGCTTTCTCCATTATCAACATCCCCCACCAGAGTGGTCCATTTGTTACAACCGATGAGCCTACATTGATACATCATACTCACCCAAAGTCCATAGTTTACTGTAGGGCTCTCTTGGTATCCTGTGGGTTTGGACAAATATATGATGACCTTTAATAATACCATACAGAGTATTTTCACTTCCCTAGAAATCCTTTGTGCTCTGCCTACTCTTTCCTCTTCCTCCCCTCACCTCCTGGCAACCGCTGATCTTTTTACTCTCTCCATAGTTTCACCCCTTCCAGAATGTCATATGGTTGGAATCATACTGGGGGGACCCCCCCAAAAAAACAAAATTTATTTATTAAAAAATTGTGTGTTTATTCTTATATGTTTTAACTTTAGTGACCTCTAAAGTACTCTCCATTTGATGACACCTAATTGAGCCATTTTTTTCCATGGCTCAAAACGATTTTTGAACTTGTCCATTTTGATGCCTTTTAGTAACTTCTGCCATTTTTTGTTTTACCTCATCCACATCAGCAAAATGTTTCCCTTTGAGAACTTTTTTCATCCAGGGAAACAAAAAATGTTCTTTGGGGTGAGATTGGTCAATAGGGAGGGTGGGGCACAGGGGTCATGCCATTTTTGGTCAAAAACTGCTGAACACTCAAGCAGTGTGGACAGGTACGCTCATCAATCATGAAATGGGCAAATGTGTTGAAAGAGGCTTCAAAAAAATTCACTGAAGCCAAATGCAGCCTCTCTCAACACCAGCTGGTACACTGATGCCGTTGGGTTCCTAGAACACTCACCCAGCAGGGGAAGCCTGTACTACAAGCCCTCCAAAAGATAATTCTGGGTGGTTATTTTTTTGGTCCCCACCTTATATGCTCTCACAGTATGTAGCCTCATGGTTTGATGGCTCCTTTTCTTTTTTTTTTGGTGTTAGTATTGCACAATCTTCCATTGTCTGGATGTACCAGAGATTATTTTTCCATTCACCCATTGAAAGACATCTTGGTTGTTTCCAAGTTTTAGCAATTATGAATAAAGCTGTAAACATCCATGTACAGGTTTTTGTGTCAGGAGAAGTTTTCAGCCCCTTTGGATAAACACCAAGGAGCATGATTGCTGGGTTGTATGGTAACAGTATGTTCAATTTTGTAAGAAGATTCCAAACTGTCTTCCAAAGTAGCTGCACCGTTTGCACTCCCAGCAGCAATAACTAGAGTTTCTGCTGCTCCACAGCCTCATCAGTGTTTGGGGTTGTCAGTTTTCTGGATCTCGGCCATTCTAAAAGGTGTGTAACTAGCTTGGCCTTTTTTGACTTGTTTTTTCAGAAAGTCTACTTTAAAATACTAAAAAACTTTCAGTTGGTGTTCTAAGTTGGATGAAATACTGATTATCTGCACAACTATTTAGAGCTCTTGCAGACTCTTACCATGACTTTGATGCATATTCATGACCCAAGTTTTAACTATTTTGTTGGTTTTTCCATGTAATAACCCAGTTGGCATTCACGTGTCTTGACTTGTCGCATATTAAAATAAAATGTGGAACCTGTTTTTTAAAATACGTAACTAAGCTTTAGGAATCTATATCTACGAAAAGCTTGTAATCAAGTTTAATTATTTTAAAAAATATGTATACTACTGTACTTGCTACCTTATAAGAAAATAAACACTAATTTCTGCCATTTTTATAAACTATTATAGTTATTTCTAGGCAAATAAAATATCATTTGTACAACAACTTATGAAATAGTGGAATATATAACAAAGCAACTTTCAGAAGCTAGCTACTTAGTAGTAGACTCTTAAAGCTCTGTCTTTGAGTTTCTGGTTCAGCAAATATGGGTTAGGACTCTGAAGTTAAAGGTATTTGCATAGATATCAATAAAATGCATTTAACAATATTTCTGGAATGGATGCAAAATAGTATGGGAATCATACTTAGAAACATTACCCTAAACCACCTACCCTAATCATTAAGTATCTCTTCTTCTTAAAGAAAACAGAATTACTCTCAAAGAGCAACAGACCTTTGGGGGAGCATAATACTTCTGAAACATTGTTATATACGTGAGAGGGAGAATAATCCTTTGTTCCAAACTACTGAGAGTTTGGGCTCTTTGTTACTGCAGCATAACCTGGTCTATCCTGAATGATGAAACCACTAGCTCACCTGAGATGTTAATACTTCTCTGATTTTATCTGAAGTCCAGTCCCTTATTGTCCCAAATTGCCTTTGAATTGTATTTTTGCACTCCTCTCCAGTTTAGAGTCATGCATTACATTTGTTCACAGCTCTTTTGTCATCTTGAACAGTCCCCTCCCCTTTCCTCATTTGCCTTGACTGAGCCAGACCAGTTGTAGAGCATTATCCTACTTTCTGCATTTGTTTCCTCCTGGAGCAGTTTAACCTCATTCCTCGGCTTTACCGTCTGTATAGTAGGCACTAGATGAGGTTCAGATTAAGCAGTTTGGGAAAGATGGTGTGTACTTCATTCTGAATTACTTAGGATGTAATGTCAGGCTGTTCTACTGTTTGATGCCAAATTTGATCACTTGGTTGATCTCTCCAATGTAAAGGCACATTTTCCCCCTTTTGCACTTAGCTGATTGTCTGCAGGCTGATATTTTGGCATCAAAATGAATATCCCATTCCCTAACTACCCATCCACTGATGATATCTATGTGAATCAACTGGTTTTCATTGGGTGTTCCAAAATAGTGATTTTTCTACTTTTATCTTCCTTTTTACATTTATTTGCTTGCATTCTTTAAAGAAGTGCTTTTACTCATCAACTGGGAAAATTCCTCTGAAAAAAGGCAGAGTAAATGCTTAATTCTTCCCCTTTAGTGACTAATTTTCAGAGTAAGGAGTCATAAAATAGTCACCTCTCTTGTAGGAATGTGGACTTTTTGTAATCAATTACAGTAAATGCTTTTTTCCTGCTTAAGTTGTTCTAAACCCATCTGGGGAAGGGGGAGCTTTAAGTTCCTTCTATGTCCTTTTGACATGCACCTTACAGTTGAGCTTCTTTTTGGTTCCTGACACAAGTAGATGCTATAGGCTCATCTTGTACATTACCTACCCATTTTGGGGTTAGCCATTTCTCCAAGGAACCTTTGTTTCTGTTACTGAGGAATAATATTTAGAGAGCAAACTCTAGGCATTAGATGTGCTCATTGC